TAACTCCCTTGGTTATAGCCTAAACTACCGTAGAAACAGGTACGTGAACTCCCAGTGTAATAGTCTAAACTACTGTAGAAACAGGTACGTTAACTCCCTTGGTAATAGTCTAAACTACTGTAGAAACAGGTACGTGAACTCCCTTGGTAATAGCCTAAACTACTGTAGAAACAGGTACTTTAACTCCCTTGGTAATAGTCTAAACAACTGTAGAAACAGGTACGTTAACTTCCTTGGTAATAATCTAAACTACTGTAGAAACAGGTACGTTAACTCCCTTGGTAATAGTCTAAACAACTGTAGAAACAGGTACTTTATCTCCCTTGGTAATAGTCAAAACAACTGTAGAAACAGGAACGCTACTGTAACTCCCTTGGTAATAGTCTAAACTACTGTAGAAACAGGTACGTTACTGTAACTCCCTTGGTAATAGCCTAAAATACTGTAGAAACAGGTACGTGAACTTCCTTGGTAATAGCCTAAACTACCGTAGAAACAGGTGCGTTAACTCCCTTGGTAATAGTCTAAACTACTGTAGAAACAGGTACGTTAACTCCCTTGGTTATGAAATTAGAGGAGCACCGGTTAAATTCAAGCTAAGAAATCTGGAAAAGTGTGTATATAAACAAATCGTGCCACTACTCAAAGGAGATAACTGTGGCCGTCAAGGCTACGGCTAACCCCGGGGACTACAGCTAATCCCGGGGACTACAGCTAACTCCGGGGACTACAGATAACCCCGGGGACTACAGCTAACCCCGGGGACTACAGCTAACCCCGGGTCTACATCTAACCCCGGGGACTACAGCTAACCCCGGGGACTACAGCTAACCGCGGGACTACAGCTAACCCCGGTACTACAGCTAACTCCGGGGACTACAGCTAACCTCGGGGACTACAGCTAACACCCGGGACTACATCTTACCCCAGGGACCACAGCTAACCCCGGGACTTCAGCTAACCCCGGGGACTACAGCTTACCTCGGTGACTACAGCTAACCCCCGGGACTACAGCTAACCCCGGGGACTAAATAATCCACTAGCAGATTCTACCAACTTGTGTCTTGTAAGATGAACGTATTTCACAATCTGAACGTTTTGAAGAGTCGTAAACACTTTATTTATTTTACATCTTTCATACATTATCATACATACATGTACATTCGAAAAGGAATCGACATCAACTGCAAAATGGAGCTTTATAGTTGAGGCATAAGCGCTTGATTACTACATAACAAGAAAATGATTAAATGGAGCTTTATAGTTGAGGCATAAGCGTTTGATTACTACATAAATCTCCATTTAGCCTCTTCAGGACCTCTATAGGATTTCTGGCTAACTAACTTGATTTTAAGACTTCTAAATCGTAGAGATTCAGTCCGAAATAACGATAAATTTTCATTCGTAATCTGGTGAAATGAGGCTTTATTTAACTAACACTTCAGTCTTTATATTCTGAAGTCTGGTAAACCTGAATCGTTTCCACACAATTAGATGAGAAATCTAATGTAATAGTCATAATCATTAGAACGATCTTCAGACACACGAGCTGGTTAGAGCGGGGATTACCTAGTCGTTATTCCCAGGGCCAACTGTTACAACCTCACTAATTAGGTTTCTCTTTTAATCGATAGATAACTGCCAACCTATTATCACTCTTAAGTATGTAACTAGCACGTTCTTTAGTAGACCTACAACACACTATTCGGCGCAATCACCTTCTGTTGTCTATAAGTTTGTCACACTTGTCTGACGTCATACAAAAGTAATATCAAATGGAACATATTCTATTTCCCTCAAATCGAACATATATTTAATATTCTACTTCCCTCGGAAATCATGAAGTAATAAACATGCATATTAATATCATCTTTTCTTGACAATGACATGGTTTATATTCGCTTTGTTTATACATACTGGTACAATCCTGTGGACATAACTGTGGATTCTGATTTTCCAACTCATCACAAATATTGTTGGGACACAAGAGCTTGTTATAGGTGCACGTGCCATACTTGGTTGTCCAGATCCCTTTCTCGCCCATACGCCATATACAGGTCCTCGCCAGTAGCCCTAGTCCACACGAAGTTACACACCCATCTCGACCGCCATGGCGAGCGCACGATTCATCTAGTGATAAGTAAACAAGAGGTTACCTCGATACCGGTAAACTGGGTGTTTATACATGTTGATTCCAATATAAATTATTGTGAAGCAATCTTATGTTTCAGGTAGGTTTTGTTCAACAATCGCGATTCTGATATTGTTAAAATAATTACAACAGTTCTACGAAAATCCCATCATTTAATCAATATTAATTTACTTCATCGCTTGATTCGTGTTGCTGGTTATTTTTCTTAAAGACTGGAATTGTTCTATGTTTAAACTGTACATACATCAACCTGTTAAGATTCCTGCCTCATTAAAGACAAACCACATATACTTTGTATTAGTTCTGGAAACTATTCATACACTCTCAAATCTATACAGATATATAAAATATATCAAATGAGAAACGTCCTGTCAATTAAAACGAAAAATAGAAAAGAAAACAAATAATCATAATGTCATCAACTCCGAAAATGTGAGTATTACATTCTGCAGTAGTGCGGGGATCCCTATAACTATATGGTACACTGACGACGTCTAATGGGTGATATGGTCACTGACGACGTCTAATGGGTGATGTGGTCACTGACGACGTCTAATGGATGATATGGTCACTGACGACGTCTAATGGATGATATGGTACACTGACGACGTCTCTAATGGGTGATATGGTACACTGACGACGTGTAATGGGTGATATAGTACACTGACGACGTCTATTGGGTGATATGGTCACTGACGACGTCTATTGGGTGATATGGTACACTGACGACGTGTAATGGGTGATATGGTACACTGGCGACATCTAATGGGTGATATGGTACACTGACGACGTCTAATTGGTGACATGGTACACAGTCGACGTCTAATGGGTGATATGGTACACTGTCGACGTCTCTAATGGGTGATATGGTACACTGACGACGTGTAATGGGTGATATGGTACTCTGGCGACATGTAATGTGTGATATGGTACACTGACGACGTCTAATGAGTGATACATGTGTACGGTCACTGACGACGTCTAATGGGTGATATGGTACACTGCCGACGTCTACTGGGTTATATGGTACACTGGCGACATGTAATGGGTAATATGGTACACAGGCGACGTCTAATGGGTAATATGGTACACTGGCGACATGTAATGGGTAATATGGTACACAGGCGACGTCTAATGGGTGATATGGTACACTGACGACGTCTTATTGGTGACATGATACACTGTCGACGTCTAATGGGTATTATGGTACACTGTCGACGTCTCTAATGGGTGATATGGTACACTGATGACGTCTAATGTGTGATATGGCACACTGACGACGTTTAATGGGTAATATCGTACACTGACGACTTCAAATGGGTCATATGGTACATTAACGACGTCTAATGGGTAATATGGTACACTGACGACGTGTAATGGGTAATATGGTACACTGACGACGTGTAATGGGTGATATTGTACAATGGCGACGTGTAATGGGTAATATGGTACACTGACGACTTCTAATAAGTGAAATGGTACATTAATGACGTATAATGGGTGATATGATACACTGACGACGTTTAATGGGTGATATGTTACACTGACGACGTCTAATGGGTGATATGGTAAACTGACGACGTGTAATGGGTGATATGGTACACTGACGACGTCTAATGGGTGATATGGTAAACTGACGACGTTTAATGGGTAATATGGTACACTAACGACGTCTTATTGGTGACATGATACACTGTCGACGTCTAATGGGTGATATGGTACACTGACGACGTGTAATGGGTGATATTATACAATGGCGACGTTTAATGGGTAATATGGTACACTGACGACTTCTAATAAGTGATATGGTACATAAACTACGTCGAATGGGTGATATGGTACATTGACGACGTTTAATGGGTGATATGTTACACTGACGACGTCTAATGGGTGATATGGTAAACTGACGACGTGTAATGGGTGATATGATACACTGACGACGTCTAATGGGTGATATGGTACACTGACGACGTGTAATGGGTAATATGGTACACTGACGACGTGTAATGGGTGATATTGTACAATGGCGACGTGTAATGGGTAATATGGTACACTGACGACTTCTAATAAGTGAAATGGTACATTAATGACGTATAATGGGTGATATGATACACTGACGACGTTTAATGGGTGATATGTTACACTGACGACGTCTAATGGGTGATATGGTAAACTGACGACGTGTAATGGGTGATATGGTACACTGACGACGTCTAATGGGTGATATGGTAAACTGACGACGTTTAATGGGTAATATGGTACACTAACGACGTCTTATTGGTGACATGATACACTGTCGACGTCTAATGGGTGATATGGTACACTGACGACGTGTAATGGGTGATATTATACAATGGCGACGTTTAATGGGTAATATGGTACACTGACGACTTCTAATAAGTGATATGGTACATAAACTACGTCGAATGGGTGATATGGTACATTGACGACGTCTAATGGGTGATATGGTACACTTACGACTTCTAATGGGTGATATGGTACATTAACGACGTCTAATATACAATTATAGCATGTTGATGAGGTTGATACATGGTTTTATCGACCTAGGTTAGCAATATTGACTGAGGACGCAGTCCGAGGACAATATTGCTAACCTAGGTCGTTAAAACCATGCATCGACCGAAATCACCATGCTACAATAGTTTTATTATTTTAATTGATTTTTTCAAAATTGAAGAAAAAAATGTATTTTCTTTAGCCATTTTTGTTATTGCTAAACTGTTGATCACTACTGCGTTTGTCTTTGATAGGCAGTATCAAGCATCCAAGTGACTTCAGTGTTAATCTTGATCATTACTGTGTTTGTCTCCCATGGGGTGTTAATCAAGCATCTAAATGACTTCACAAAAAATCCAGAATCTATTTATAGCAGGTCAATAACACTTGTTCTACCAACTTTTTTGAACACCTGCAAACCACTCAGGTTTATAACTACCTTTACAGGTGGTCACATGATGTTGTTTCAGCCAATCAGAGTCAGCTCAAAATCAATAAAAATAATTCACTGACGACTTCTAATGGGTGATATGGTACATTAACGACGTCTAATGGGTGATATGGTACACTGACGATGTCTAATGGCCTATAGCACTAGTTACCAATTTTCAATGCAGGTTATTCTCTTTACAATACAAAGTATAGAGAAACATATTTACAAAATAGTTTACAATACAGTTGTTCATTAGGCAAGTCACACAAGCACAGTCTAATCAATATTGTTCAAATCATTCATATCACCTAGGACAAATAATTGTATTACCAAAGCATGTACACTGACCGCGTTTAAATAACTATAAACACAAGTATTTTAAAGTATATGGTACACGAAAACGGCTAATAAGTCATTCAGGTTTGTGTGTTATACATGTAGATTAGTTTAAAGCATGAGATAGTCAATGTTTTACTTACTGCATATTGTTTTCTTTTTAGGCCCACTCGTAATTTTTACGATGAGTACAATTTTCTGTTCTCCTTGTGCATCTTTTGAGTAGGCTGAGACTGTAAAATTCTGTTGCCTACTGCCCTCCAAAAGGCTGGGTTTGTCTACGTAAACTATCCCTTCGTACCTTGTTACAGCAAAGGCGGAAGCCAGTCTGTTTGAGAAATAGCTCCTAGGGGTGTCCTTCCCAAGTTTACCAAATGTATGAATCTGAAACACAACGGTATTGTGAAAACATGATAATACCGATTTTTTTTTTAGACAGGCGTCATCCAACTACACTGTATACCTAACTGTCATCACCAAACTGCACAAGATTATGCACATCAGTCATTAAACTAGACAATTAACATATATATAACACATCCTTTCAATATTTGTTTGATTAAACAATATTTGTATGAAAAAATCTCACCGAGTTACTGCTTGTAATGGGATCATGTCCTGAATGACATAAACCTAGCTCACCTGCGAAAAACGTCAACCTAGCTCACCCGTGTAAGGTGTAAACCTAGCTCACCCGTGATAGACATAAACCTACCTCACCCGTGTAAGATAGCAACCTAGCTCACCCGTATAAGACATATAACAAGCTCACTCGTGTAAGACATAAACATAGCTTACCCGTGTAAGACACCAACCTAGCTCACCCGTGTAAGAAATAAACCTAGCTCACCCGTGTTAGACACCAACCTAGCTCACCCTTGTAAGAAATAAACCTCACCCGTGTAAGAAATAAACCTAGCTCTACCGTGTAAGAAATAAACCTAGCTCACCCGTGTAAGAAATAAAGCTAGCTCACCCGTGTAAGAAATAAACCTAGCTCACCCGTGTAAGAAATAAACATAGCTCACCCGTGTTAGACGTGCAGCACCTTCCACAACGTTTGCCATGTAAACCTCCGAAGGCGGTGAGGACGTAGTTCTGTCCATTTTGATATTGACCGTTAGAGTAGACTGCAAACAATCATGGTTTATAAAGAGGTTATTTATTAATCACAGTACCAATACAACATAGCATAAAATCTACGATCAAACCACAAGACAGTAGGAATTAAGGAGGGGGGAGGGGGTAGAAACTTCTGAGAAACAATACAAGTTCTGGTGGACACTGATGAAGAGGGTCATGGCGTCGAACATTAATTAAAACCTCTCCGATAGGAACACTTAAAAAAGTAGCTAATTCACCAACAGGACGTTTATATCAGAAACTTAGAACAGGGATACATGTAGTATAGCGAATCAATTGTGAAATTCTGATACTAAGAGCAGGCTCAGGATAGCGAATCAACTATGATATGTAAACTGCTGATGTGTAAAACACCATCTGGGTAGAAAATCAACTGACATGTAAACTCCTGACACTAAGAACAGACTCTGGGTCTCTGGGTA